GAGGGCAGGTTCTCGTAGAGCAGCAGGGCCGCGCGGCGACGGGAGCAGCCAGCGAGCGCCGCGGCCTCCCGGGGCGGTTTCAAGCGCCCGCCGCGGTGCAGGGCCGCGTGCCCGGCGGGCACGGAGCCATTGACGTTCTCGTAGACGCACTGGGGCGATGGACACTCGTCCTCCCACTCGTTGTTGTTGTTGTTGGGGCTGCACAAGTGTGTCCTGCACTCGCGGCGGTGCTGACAGGCGCTATCTCGTTTCACCACGTGCCTGGGTGCGGGACCTAGCACAAACTTAACCTCCCCCGGCTGCAGAAAGACCTGGGGATCGCGGTCCTCCAGGGAGCAGCTGTGGTTCCTATGGGGGAAAGGAGGGTGGACTTGAGGCAAGGAGTGCATACAGTGCCGGCCCCTCAGCTCCTGCTCGCCACGGGCTGTGTTCACATAGGTGTGGGACTGCAAGGAGAGAAGCAGAGGGACAGTGACAGGAGAAGAGCCGGGAACACGGCAAGTGTCAGCAACCGAGCAAACAACAGGGCAGCGACAGAGTCAGGTGCTTGACGGAGGAGCAAGAGAGCAAAGAATTTCAGAACTTGAAGGTTTGGGGAAGCAAAAGTCACTGGTGGATTTGTGGGTTGAAGGAGGGACAAAATACAGTCCAACTGTAGAAATCCACATCATCTGTTTCATGCTAGATACGTAGATATGGGACAAAACAAAAAGCAAAGCCACCCACAAAATATTTTACTGAAGAGCTTCCCCTGCAGCTATTGCTGAATTCACCTAGATTTACCTGACAATAAATATTTGGGACTGTAGGATTACGTATGCAAAAATCTTAAAATTCTTAAACCAAGAAAATAGATCTGAACACCAAAAATAAAACACAGAGTCTCAACTTGGGCATTATTCTTCACATCAATTTAAAAGTTGTAGTAAGTCATACGCAGGGCAACATGACTTGGACTCACACAGAAAATTAAGTGCTGCTGCTAAGCAATTGCCAAGGCAATAGCAGTGGACTGAGGAAGCCAAGTCAGTCCATCTCAATAGAGTGTCTGTTCCAGTGAGGCATGAGAGAGCACAGTAGCCTCCAAGACCAAAATGAAGCAAAAGAAACAACAGATGATGCGGTACAAGGATGCCCTGAGCTTTGCTGGAGTAAGAGAAGCCTAGAATTGCACGGCATTGCTCATGCAGTAACAGAATTCAGGAGATCCAGGTTTACCTGCTCATCAGGTCCAATGAGAGCATGAGTGGAGTCTTCACCAACGGAAGAATGTCTCAGGCTGCTCACGGAGGGGGGGCGAGCTGTGGAGTAGGATAGGGTTTCTCCAGGGAAGCTGTGAAATCCATTGGGAAGTCCTGGGACAGTGTAGCCCAGACCTGGGAGAGAAGCGAGAGAGTCAACCACGGGAGCATTGATTTGAAACAACCCGCAGAGTTGGCTGCATTTTCACAATGAGCTGGGCTGTGAAATGCACCCTGGCAGGCGGAATCAGCTGGGCTGGAGAGGACTTCCACCATGAGGTTCAGAGCATACATACAAGGGCTAGACCCCCTTGACTGATTTTTAGTCCCTCCTCATGAAAGCAGGAATTGAGTAAACCTGAGTTCTTCCAGATGTGTTTCCCTTTCCTTTTAGGGCTTTTTTCCTCCATTTCCTTGGATACTAAGTACTATATTGCAAACAAGCAGGGCCTTAAAATAAACATGCTGCATGAGACAGACATGGAGGCAAAGAGACAGGTCAGCAGCGAGGCGGCACTCGGGAGGAAACCCACAGGCTGGAAAGGGCAGCTTTCACACAAGCAGCTGCAGACACTGCTCACATCTCTGCATTCCCCTTCCCAGATCCCACGTAGGTCTTACTGTTGGATGCCTGGGGAGTCCGGGAAAGCTCCCGCTCCGCAGGGTGACTGTTCCTGGTGATGACAACAGGCTCTTCCACTACATTGATACTATTACATTGCATCAGATCCTGGAGCAAATTAAAGATCTCCTCTGCTCTGGAGCACTTAAACGCAAAAATTCCTGCACAGTAATGAAGAGGAGGGTCAGAAGAGCAAAAAAGCAAGCCTGCTCTAACAAGAGTATAATTCTGGGCTATAAATAAACAAGCATGATTGATATTTAGCATGTCTAACGCAATCAACCCCTGCAACTCACGGCTGCAAGAGAACAACTAACAACTTGGTGGATTAATGATAGCTCAGGCGTTTCTTTAAGTCATGAAAACATTTATCCTTTCATTGGGTGGGATGAAAATTTGTTTGGAGGATGTAAATCCTCATGCTTTAAGCCATAAACTGAACAGATATATGAGCAGAAAAAGAGCCTCCCTTTGGTTATGCAGTGACTTGGTAGAAAGTGTCTTCCTTAATCTTTCTTATGCAGATTGACCCTACAAGAGCAGAAGTGTGAAAGGAATAAGCTAACCGGTCCTGTTCCCTCTCAACCCTTCTATTTAGCTCACTTAGCACCCAGCCCAATTCCCAGTGGCCCACGGGAGCTGAGCGGGGCCTTGTGCAGGGACGAGAGCACCCTATTCAAACCCAATGGCCGAGGTTTCAGCGCGGCTGCCCGGGCGAGCGGCCCCGGCGCGGGCAGAGCCGGCCGGTCTCGAGGCGCTCGCACGCACAGCAACCATAGCAACAACCAGAGCTGGCAGCAAGAGCTCCTACCCCAAGACTAATGTTTAAAATACTCGGCCCAAAATATAGCTCCGTCTGCCTTATTTAAGATGGGGAGCTGCGGGAGGATCGAATTCTCCAAATGAAATTAACTGAGAAGAATTCCTACGAGGAAAGAGGAAACTAATCAGGAATACAGCAGCATCCAGTTGATTTTTGTCTGCATTAAGATGGATGAGTTAATATGTGTCTGCTAAAATATTCTCTAATATATGAAGAGCAAGCAGCTCTGCCTTAGCCTCACTATCTGTATCTAAACAAAAACAGCAATAAAAAAAAAAAAAAAAAAAAAAAGGCAGAATTCTAATTACTATCCTGCAAAGGCTAACCAGACAACCGAAGACAAGCAATTCCCATTGCTGGCAACTGGTAAGCACACAATTCCAGGAGAGGGAAACCCTACTTACATAAATATTAAAAAGGAGCATACGGCATCACAGATTTGCATGGCACTTCACGCAGACACTGCACAGTCATGTGCTGCCCTTCTGGATAAGGAGGAGTTTACAAACACATCAACAGCATGAAGAATCACAAACTCCCCCCGCACCGGCCCCACCATGCCATGAAAATGCTCAGTTCGTTTTTTCTTTTCTCTTAAGCAGAGGAGACAGACTGCTAAAGGAACTAATGGGCACCATAGTAAAGCTGGAGTCTATTCCCAGCTCTGCTGATGACTTGGCATGTGCTCCTGAGTGAGTCACTTCTCTATACACAGCATCCCCATGCTGAAGAGCTGTAAAACATAAAACTCCTTTGCCCCCCATGTTACAAATTGCTGCCAAACAGTAAATACAAAGCATTAAGCAAAACTAGTACTAAGGCAGAGAGATACAGGGAGAAATACAAGGACATGTTGAAACTACTACTGCTACTGCTGTGTATGTGGAAGGTCAGAAATTAGCTAATCCTGAGCTGGAAAAGATGTGGATCCTGCCCTTCTGCTTTCTCCCTAGAGATGAAAGCTGCTTAATAAAGCTTTAGTCTTGCAAAAGGCACTTTCCAGCTCCTAGAAGGACACCTCTGGCAAGGAGACATCTCTCCTATCACGTATAAACATGGTTAGCTCCAAAGCACAGAGCTGACAGTGAATTAACATCCCGTCCCACGCTAAATGTGTCCCATCCAGGTAAAACTTTAGCTCATGTCTGTTGAACCAGTTACCTGATGAGAGTTGACTCTAGAGAAATGAGAGCACTAAACTTAGGCCCAGATTCTGAGCCTCAGTATTGCTAACTTCAGKATTTTAACTGGGAATATTAACCATATGCACAGGCAGATTCCAGTGTTCCGGGGAAAGAGAGGCTGCAAGTGAACATGTTGATGTGTTAGATGCAGGATCTGGCAAGACATAGGTGCCACCTGACTGAAGCTTCCTGGGAACAGCAGCTTCCCAGCTCCTTCCTCCAGGGACCCCAACACTCACCCTGCCCTGTCTGGCAGCGGCGCCCGCTCTCGAAGGAGAAGAGGTTGGAGTCGTAGCCGTAGCGGCGCAGGCAGAGGTAGGGCCACCTGACAGCGTCGCGCTTGTGAGTGTGCAAGATGAGCTCCGTCTGCGTCAGTTCCATCACCCCAGAGCCCAGCTCGGTACCTTCATCGTCCACGTTYGTTACCTGGAGAGAAAACAGCACCCACATGAGCAAAATCCATGTCTTTGTACCCCGCAAAGTGCTGCAGGTTTAGGCCCACCCATGGAGATGCTGTGATTCCCATAGACTCCCCCTTCATTCACTAGGATGCATTTTTCCAGCTGAGAGCATGAATTCATTGCTGGCAGAAGGCGCCAAGTCGGCGGCCTTGGAGACTCTGTGCTTGGCAGCTCAGCTGATGTCTCTCAACACAGACACTGGAAGACAGCCCTGAGCAATAGGAGATTTCTCTCCACTTCTCCATTTCCCTGCTGAGGGATAATCTGAGCGCAGAGGCAATATCTGAGACCTGTTTTTCAAGCAAAGTTTCTTAATTAAAAAGAAAAAAAAAAAAAAAAGTAAATCTCATCATGTGAAAGAGTAGAGGTTTTTCCTGCATTCCTGCCTGGCACCTGACCAAGGCTGGGCTTTCCTCGTGTCAGCTGATGTCACAGATTCCCTTCCAAGAAGGGAAGTCCGACACGTACCTTAAATTTGGTGGGATGGTTGTCTGGGATGCTGTCCCTGCACAGACAACTGCAGCAGCTCCCCATGATGTCAGCACAGGAGGTAATCCCTGGTAGTGGGCACAAGAAAGAGGACAATCGTAATTCCAAACTATCTCCTCCATTCCCTCAGAACACAGGGCATTTGCACCCTGTATCCCCCTTCATCATCCCGCACACAGCCTAGTGGGTTTGAACCTCAAATTTCTTTGCTTTGAAAACTCTTTAGTGTGTTACTCAACTAAAAGATATCATACAGTATGAGTAATACGAGTAAGAATAACAGCTTTCAAGTGCTGTTTTACTCACATTCTTTGCAATATAGCCTAAAATTCTCCATTTCACCCCTCATAGGAAGGCCGTACCAGCAAATGGGTAGAGCACAAACCTCCCCGGWGCCCTCCTCTGGGAGCTGACTACAGCTTGTAACTTCTAATCTCACCTAGTTCTTACCATTAGGCGACTGCTTGTTCGTTTTGGAGGAGTGGGAAGAAATCCCACYGCTGTCTATCTCCCCCGGGACTTCATGGTAACCAGGCGTTCCCGTCACCTAGAGCACAAGGGCAACCGTCCCATCTTTTACCTGACAAGGAGAACACAATTAAAGAGGTCAACAGATAAAAGGCAGAGAATAATAACAAGAATTCGGGGGAGGGCTGGCACTGAATTTTCCTCAAGCATCACTCTGCAGGGAAGTGCACCCTTTTTAAAAATTAACTACCTGTGTTTACATGAACAGAGAACATCATTCTGCTTAGATTGCCCCCGAAACGCACAGCACCCAACACAGACACCCTGTACACACACCTGCACTAGTCAAAGTCACCCTGCATCGCTGCTTGTGCCCATTTTCTAGCAAATGTGAGTCGTCAGAGCCCGGCACAGACACTCCCAAGGCTTGAAACCATCTGCATCCCAATGGACAATGTCTACAAAGTACGCACAGAAATATAACTTAGGAAACACACACAATCTAGAGCTAAACAAGCAAACAAAAACCTAAAAATAAGAGAGATTTTACTTCTTAACTTCGCAATCCTGTTGAGAAGGGGGCTTTATCCAATCTTCTGTAATAGATACAAATACTGAATGGCAGATGGCTGTAAAGATGTGAGTAATCACACACATCTGCTGCTTAGGAATGTGAAGGCATCTTCATTAAATGGAAGGTCCTTAAGGGTCAGGGAACAAGCGGCCTTAAAAGCAAAGGAACACAGCAGCTGCTGTGCATTCGACTAGGAAAAGGAGCAAATGCCAGAAAACAASAAGATGCAAACCCAAAAGACGCAAAAGCAAAAAGACGCAGCCACCTCATCTTTTAAAGTGTAATGTTTCCAGGGAGTGGAGGAGTTACAGACGCTGGCAGAAGGGAAAACTGGCATCTTTGATGCAGGCTTAAACTTTGCGTCAGCTTGGGGGCGCGGGTGAGTGGCAGATCACACACGGGGATCACGCTTTGTTTGACAAGAGCATTAGAGATGTGTCCATACGAGCACGAGAACACACAGCCACACGGATAACCACCCTGGATAACCACCCTGGATAACCACCCTGGATAACCACCCTGGATGACCAGCCGGCAGGATAACAGCAAGCAGAACCAAGGGGTTTTTGGAAGCGTCGTGCATCGTCACACCGGCCCCTGAAGAATCCGCAGCCCCGTCGTCATGCTGCAGACGCCCCCAGCCCTGCAGGTACGAGGACACCATCCCAAGTGAGGTGCCACACGGCAGCTGCAGCGAAGTCACGCGCTCCCTGCTCAACAGGGCATCCCCTCCAAGTTTTCCTATTTGTTTTTCTACACTCAACAGGGATTTACACACAGCTGATATTGATCACAGCCTTTGATCAATAATTTTGCGACAGATTCCTCTCTGCTTCATCTAATCCCGTCACCGGGAGCCTTGTTCTCCCCAGTTTCTGTCCTCCCCTTCCCACCTTACCAACTCCCTTGGTTAAATATGCTCTGCACAACACACGTTACCTTTCCCCTCTCGCTGCTTTTCTCCTCCCTTTGGCACTTCCTTCGCCACTCAGCTCTGCGAGGGGTTCAGAAGGAAGAGCTGCGAACTGTCGGAGTTGTTATCATGGTCAGAAGTGCACAAATGAAGGAAAAAAGGACGCGGAGCTGCCCAAGGAGCCCCTGGCACTCGCAGCTGCTCCGCACGGCTCAGGTGTGTCCGGAGGGACCCCGCGACGGGCACAYGGAGCACCTCGGGACTGCCCCGCTCGTGCTGCCGACCTCAAAGCTTGAGCCCAAGGCGCGACAGGCTCCTGCTGCAGGAGCAGGGACACGCGCCCCCGGGCAGGGGTCCCGGGTCCAAGCGGCCCCAGCCTAAACCCTCCTGGAAGTCGTGGGCCTGCTGAGATGCGGAGCTCGCCTCGCCCTGCGTCAGGGCTGCCCACGTGCTCTCCTTGCAGGACACCCTGCCCAGGTATCCTGGAGCCGAACAATGCAGCCCCCGTGCAGGAGACCCTGCCTCTGTGCCCAGGTATCCTGGAGCCTAATGATGCACAAACGCAGTGCAAAGCACTCCACAAGGGCAGCCGTGGAGGGACACCCGCTCACACAGGGCCACTGCGCCCGCAAACACGTGCGGATGCCCACRAGCGCCCTAGGGTGCCGGCGTCACCAGCCCCGCTGCCCTCCCCAGCGGCCCCCGAGATGGAGGGGGCTGCCCCACTGCGGGGGGCACCTCGGAGCCGAGCGGGGCTGCTGCCGATGGGCAGCGACAGACAGACCCCACGGGCAGGGGCAGGGCGGGACAAGCCCTGGGGACAAGGGCACAAGGAGCCATGGGGCAGGCGGGCTGGGAACGAGGCGCTGCAGGAGGGTGACCGGGGCGTGCGGGGGGCAAGGGGGGAG